CGGCTATGTTTGGCTTCAGATCTTTAGCCAAGCCGTTTCTAGAGCCGATACTTTATTAGTAGACCCTTAGCCAAGCCGATAATTGGCTCGGCTTAGCCGATCGGCTTGCGGCTTAGCCTTAGCCGTTCGCATCACTACATATCCGATATTTGTATGTTTAATCTAGACTTCAACAATTAACATTTGCATTTCTAAGAATTATTGAGCTAAGGTGAGAAGCTTTTTTATAATGGTCTAATGATCCTGGAGGAGGGTTCAGTTACGTGCTTGTCTTTATAACCAAAACTCATTCGTGAGTACATTTCTTTCGGCCGATGGAAAAATGAGCAATTCATCTTGCCCGTCGTTAGGTAGCCGGCAACCTAATGACTAGCGGACCTTGTACTTTTCTTAGTGAGAAATTGCTTGCGGGTGTTCTTCTGGGAGGAGGGCCCATATCCCCGTTAGGGTAGCTTAACGACTATCATTTGGGAGCTTCTCATATCAAGATTTGATCTTGATACCAGTTTAGAATCTCACTCAGTCAATAATATAGGCACTAACAATTATTATTTATGATTTTTTATCAAAGATGCGTTTTTCGATTACTATTTAAATAAGACGAACTATAAAGTATGGACCATTCTTGACTATCAATTATTTTACTAAACGATATCCATGGGTTTCCTCTCAACATTTCGAAGAAATTAAAGATGAATGATACTATTAAATTGCATGTTTAGAAATAAAGTGTAACTTTGAGTTTAATCATTTGGGCTGCCGTCAATAGAAATCAAGCAGATTAACGTTTTAAAAAAAGTTAAGGGATTAACTTTTTTTAAAATATCAATCTGCTTGACGACCAGGGACGATGATTTTCTGCGGTGTTAAGACTAAATTCTGTATGTGGTTAAGACAAATTCTGTGATTTAATGTGATAAAATTTTTTGTCAATCCTGTGCAGTTCTGTGATTTTATTTGACTATTTATTCGTCAAAATTTTTCTAAGCCATACAATTCCGGTTGTCCACCTACCCGTGATTCTAAGAATTTTAGAATTCTATGATATTCTGCGGTGACTAACATTGACCCTGTTAACGACAGCCAATTTATTTTAATTTTCAGACTGATCCGGAATTAATCTTATTGAAAATATTTAAGCCGGTAATAGATATCGTTATATATACCATTGGGGTGTGCGACGTATTATGTAAATCAAAACTATACGGGTTATATAATAAAATTTATTAATGAAGATTTTTAGATACATAGATGATAATTAAAACTTTTTAAGAAAGAAAATATAGTATGCTAAATTTTTTCATAATTAAATAAGAAATGTCTATCACTTTCTTTATAGAGACGTAATGTTAGTCTGTGCCAAATTTTATCTGAAACTCTCAAGCCGTTAGAGCTATCTATTTAAAATTTTGCAATAATTACATATTATACGTAAAATTAGGTTTTTGGGATATAAATTACTATATATATACTATATATATAGTATATATATAATTTATATTTAATTAGTCTAGTTGGAACCGATTTTATATTTTTTATATACAAAACCGGCTTAACCCAAAATAAAACAGGAATTCTATTATGTATTCTGGGTCATAGCTTTATAAAAATATTAATTTTATAATTTAAATTTTTTAAATAAAAGTCTGGCGGGAGGGTCATTTTTTTTGGGTTATAAAATTAACTTTATATGTAAATATATACAGTATATATTCATATTTAAAATCACGATTTTTACATTAATAAAGAACTTTCTAACGCTAAAGTTATTTATTTTATATCAAATATCGTATCACAAATTAACATGTAACACCTGAAGAGTTACGATGGTTTCTAACAATTGTTCCATTACGTACAAAAATTTATCTACTACTATCTCTGTTATTGCCTCCATTAATCAGGTTATTTAGCATTTTCTCGGTAGCTTCAAGTTGAGATTTTAATTTTTTTAATAACATCTATATATTAAATAAAAATTAGACATATTATGCAACATAAATTATAATATATAACTAGAAATCATACCTTGATTCCTACCAAAGATTCAAGATAATCAACTACATGATGTTTTAATTGTACTCTAGATGGTACAAATATATTCTGTCTAAATAAGCGACACCAACCTATTAAGCTTCCTGGAATGTCATAAACAGTGATCTCTAATTGATCATCTATATATAAATTTAAAATCTTAGGTGTGCAACATTAATACATTTCATAGATTAAATTATATATTATACATACCCAAAATTCTTGCACCAATAACAAATAAATTGTGCATTAATCTAAGTAATTCTTCTGTTATAAAATTTCTAAACTTGTCCTCATAGAAACAAAACATCTTATTGATTTGATCACATTGTTCTTGTAATTGCTTTTGTTTGTCATTAGCAGGATCTGTGCCTGGCTTTTTGGATTCTACTGTCAAAAATAAAACAAGATTTTCTTTCATTAAACGTGTTCCAATTCCTGTATCAATTTTATGACCTTGTTTTGTTTTATCAACATTAGGCAATATGCTTTCGAAATTTTTAGCATTCATGGAATTTTCAGCATTAATATTTATTTCTGGCAATATTAAAGAATGCTCTTCATTGGATTCTTTATATAAGCCTTGTCTATGGTGGTGGGAGCAAGTTGTCTCAAGTTCTCCACTATGTAAAGAATTTGATTACCAAATTGTAACTAATAATATTTTAATCATAAACACTGTAAGATTTACCATATTGAAATTAGATCGGCATCTTCCATACAAAAATCTTTCATAACAGAAGTAAACATATCTTCCATGTATGTTGATTCATTAATGTTGAGCTGTTTATCCTCATATTTTTTTGTCGCCAAATACTGTATATTTGCTATAAATTTATTATATTAAACAAAACAAAATTACTATTTATCACCAGTGGTGATCATCACTAGTCCTAAGATTTGTTAGGGTTAGGGTTAGAAATTAGAGAATTATTGTTTTTTTTATATAATATATTATAAAGCTATAAGGGCCCGATAGGGCCCGATCTCAGTTCTCATGAGGTTTTTGGGGGTCCTGAACATTTTTACTTAGAAGACCCGATCCCGTTTACTTAGTACGTTTTTGAGATATAGCAACACTGGTGATGATCACCGGTGGCGATAAATAGCAAACTCCTAAACAAAAATATAAAATAATTGCATAAGTTATAAAACTATAATCATTATTTTTGCCATAGTCATTAAAAAAATTACTTACAAAAACTTTATCGTTTTAGCACAAATTTGTAAATCATAATCAGAGATCCAACTATCAGTTGGTTTTTCAGCATTCCCATCAGATATTAAAGATTCGAGATAGATTCTAACCTTACTATTAAAGCTGAACTCTTCGATGTCATTTAAAAGATTAATTATTCTATGAGAAAATATTTTTTTTAATAATGTGTAAGGGTTCGCAAAATCCATTATCCCCGACAATAATGGATTTGTAGGATCTTCATATACAAGAATATTAAACTCATCGTAATCAATAATTGTAGAAAAAATTTGTTGAATATTTTCATTCTCAATGATTAATGGATTAAGCAAATTATTTGACTCCTATATAAAGAAATTACAAGTTATTATATTAACTACTATCATTATTAAAATTAAATATTAACAAGTAAATCTAATACCTTCATTTTTAAAAATTTATTTTTTAACCGTTTTAAATACTTTTCTTTTCCAATGGTTAAAAGATTTTTTTTTCATCTGATCCAAGTGAATTTGCGACTTTAATCAGTGCATCCATTTCTTCTTTAGAAGTGCACAAGGAAAATGCATGCCGTAAGTTTGTATATGGGCATCGAAGAATGTCAACTGCTATAAACAAAAATTTAGATAAGCACAATTAAAGTTAGTCAACTGCTATAGATAAACATAATTAAAGTCAATCAACTACAATAACTATTTTTGCTTGTTATCATTTGTGGCATCTTGCCATTCAGCAATGGAATATTTGACCCAAAATAAATTTACTTCAGCCGAGTTCTTTTCATTCTAAAAAGAGACAATACCGGTAATTATGATATTAATATAATTGCTAATGTCTGTATTTTAAATCGATTTAATGAATACATGGCATTTGATTGATGCAAACTAATATCACAGGTATTACACCCACTATAAACACTTTAACATCGATGTAAGACTACAACAGTACTACAACATAGGTATTTCACCTACCATGGATATTATTATGTTGATATTAGCTTGCACAGCCCACAATGCTCTTTTAACGTATAACTTCATCATTTGGAAGAATTGGCAAAGAAATAAGAATAAAATTATACTTGCCTCCACCTTATTATATGCATTCATGATTTTTTGTGATTGTAGCTTCGAGTTGTCTTTTTTGTTTTTAAGACATTTTTCTTTTCTGATAAAGGCCATGTATTTTAAAACTATACACTTTAAACAAAAGGGCACGATAAGATGATTTTAATAGTTGTAGTTTTTCGAAATAGGTAAGAAAATTTAAAAATGATAAGGAGTCTGGATCAGTTGTATTTGTGTCTTTTTTGTAAAAATGGCATTGACTCTATTCTCATAAAGCATGGCGCGCTGCTACTGATATTGATTTAACAAATTAGAGGACTTTATACAGTATCGATATTTGTTAACAAATTAGAGGACTTTTAAACAATATCGATATTTGTTTTGATTTTTAGAATCAGCCAATCATATTGGAATAAGTCCGACTCGCATCTGTGCCAGGTTTTGTGGGAAAGTCTCCGGACCAGGGTTTTAATTATACCGGTATAATACAGTAATAAAAAGGGCAGTATAATATCAGGTATAATACTGTACAATACCGTATAACATAGTATAATCCCCGTTATACTTTCTAACTATTGATATTATACAAAGTATTATACCAATGGTGTAATACGTACAGTAATAATACAGTATAGGTAACCAACTTCGGTTTTACCACAAAATTCCGAAAGGACCTAATACTGACAAAGTTAGCCGGCATTTATAATGCTGGCCAATTTAGTCGGTATTATGTTCTTTCAGGAAAATGGGTTTCGAGATTTTGTGGTTAGAACCGGTAACTTCCCTAGCATGTTACACAACATGGCGGGCTTTCATTCTGATTGGCTAATAGAAAATAAGTCCAAAGTAAACGAAAGATATTATATAGTTATTGCATACGAAGTATGCAATAACTGCTGTATTTTATGGACGATGATGATTGGTTGGTAACC